TGTCCCGCAGGCCCGACCAGTCCCCCTCCACTGACACCCTCATCCGCTTAGCCGAACTCGTCCTCACACTCAACAACTTCTCTTTCAATTCCTCCCACTTCCTACAGACAAAGGGGGTAGCCATGGGTACCCGCATGGGCCCAAGCTACGCCTGCCTCTTTGTAGGTTACGTGGAACAATCCCTCTTCCGTACCTACACCGGCCCTAAACCCCACCTCTTCCTCCGTTACATTGATGACTGTATCGGCGCCGCCTCGTGCTCCCACGAGGAGCTCGAACAGTTCATACACTTCACTAACACCTTCCACCCCAACCTTAAGTTTACCTGGACCATCTCTAACACCTCTCTCCCCTTCCTGGACCTCTCTGTCTCCATATCGGGCAACCACCTAGAAACCGATATTCATTTCAAGCCCACCGACTCCCACAGCTACCTAGAATACTCCTCCTCCCACCCACCTTCCTGCAAAAATGCTATCCCCTATTCCCAATTCCTTCGCCTCCGCCGCATCTGCTCCCAGGATGAGGCATTCCACTCCCGTACATCTCAGTTGTCCTCGTTTTTCAAGGACCGTAACTTCCCCTCCTCGGTGGTCGAGAACGCCCTCAACCGTGTCTCCCACATCTCCCGCACCTCATCCCTCACACCCCGTCCACGCAATAAGAACCAAAAAAGAATCCCCCTCGTCCTCACGTACCACCCCACCAACCTCCGGATCCAACGCATCATCCTCCGACACTTCCGCCATCTGCAATCCGACCCCACCACCAAAGACATCTTTCCCTCCCCACCCTTATCTGCTTTCCGGAGGGACCACTCTCTCCGTGACTCCCTTGTCCGCTCCACACTCCCCTCCAGCTCCACCACACCCGGCACTTTTCCCTGCAACCGCAGGAAGTGCTACACCTGCCCCCATACCTCCTCCCTCACCCCCATCCCAGGCCCCAAGAAGACTTTCCACATCAAGCAGATGTTCACCTGCACATCTGCCAATGTGGTATACTGCATCCGCTGTACCCGGTGTGGCTTCCTCTACATCGGGGAAACCAAGCGGAGGCTCGGGGACCGCTTTGCAGAACACCTACGCTCGGTTCGCAATAAACAACTGCACCTCCCAGTCGCGAACCATTTCAACTCCCCCTCCCATTCCTCAGACGACATGTCCATCCTGGGCCTCCTGCAGTGCCACAACGATGCCACCCGAAGGTTGCAGGAACAGCAACTCATATTCCGCTTGGGAACCCTGCAGCCCAATGGTATCAATGTGGATTTCACAAGTTTCAAAATCTCCCCTCCCCCTACCGCATCCCAAAACCAGTCCAGCTCGTCCCTGCCTCCCTAACCTGTTCTTCCTCCCACCTATCCCCTCCTCCCACCTCAAGCCGCACCTCCATCTCCTACCGACCAACCTCATCCCGCCCCCTTGACCTGTCCGTCCTCCCTGGACTGACCTATCCCCTTCCTAACTCCCTACCTACACTCACCTTTACTGGCCCCATCCCCGCCTCTTCGACCTGTTTGTTTCCTCTCCACCTATCCTCTCCTCTATCCCTCTTCTATCCGCCTCCCACTCTCTCCCTATTTATTTCGGAACCCCCTTCCCCTCCCCCTTTTCTGATGAAGGGTCTAGGCCCGAAACGTCAGCCTCTCTGCTCCTATGATGCTGCTTGGCCTGCTGTGTTCATCCAGCCCTGCACCTTGTTGTCTCGGATTCTCCAGCATCTGCAGTTCCTACTATCTCTAATGTGAAAACAGCCTGGTTTGACTGAAAGAGAACCATGTGACACTAAACTGTGAGAACAGGCCTGTTGGACCATCACATGCAGCTACCTGGAGATGTTTTCCTGTAGAATGGAAAGTCTGGAAAAGTATTGAAAGTACCAGGGAATAGAGATACAGCCTGTAATCTTAGATTCAGGATAATACTAATATAAGGGACTCTGCCCCATTCATTGGGCTTCACCTTGGACCAGGATCGCCACTGGTGCCAGGAACCTTGAGTTCTCCAGACCAACCATTGCACAAGGTCCCCAACAGGCAGAAAGCAGTGAGACTTAGCATTAAACATGTCTAAAGTAGTTTAAGCTAATTGATTCAATCATTAGTTTCCACACGTCTCTAATATATATTAAGCAGACTAAGCTAATAAACTTGCCTTATATCAAAATGCGTGTGCCTTCTTGTAATCATATTGATCAGATCTAAAAGAACTCATCAGGTACTTTCAGCCTAATGATACAATAACAAAAAGTGTTTTTTCAAACTATAGTTAGTTAGGAGCAGACTAAGAAATACTAGGAGGAATACAGATACAAATGCAAATGCACACATGAAGGGTTATGAATAATGTTAGTGAGCTACAAGAACAAGTAGCTATTTGTTTTCATTGTTTCACAGAATGTGTGCCTCACTGGGAAGGTCAATGTTTGTTGACCTTTCTAATTTGCTTTGAAAGAATTTTGGTGATTCATCTTCATGAATTGTTACTGTCCATCTTATGTAGGTACACCCATGCTGCTGTTCGGAAGGTAGTTCCAGGTTTTAGATGCAATGATGGTGGAGGATATAGTTCCAATTTAGAATGCTGAGTGGCTTGGAGGGGAGCTTGTAGGTGATGGTGTTCCCATCTACCAGCTGCTCTTGTCCTTCTTGATGTAAGAATGTTTGGAAAGTACTTTTGAAGGAGATTTGGTGAGTTGCTGCAGAGCAACTTGAACACATTGGTAGTGAGGGGAGTGAATACTTGAGATGGTGGATTGGGTGCCAGTCCTGAATGTTGTTAAGCCTCTTGAGTGTTGTCGAAACCACACTCATGCAGACAAGTGAAGAGTATTCCATCATGCTCCTGAATTGTGACATGTAGATGATGTGCAGATTTGAGGGAGGCAGGAGATGACTTACCTGTTGTAGACATGTTCTTGATACTACAGTATTAAGTGGCTTTTCCAGTTCATTTTCTGCTCAATGTTGAAGGGAGCCATGGCTCACATATCCACTCAACTTTGCACAGAACTGATCAATGAACTTTGTTTACTGTGGTTTTCTTTTCTCCAATGGCAAGTATACACCTACCTTACTGAAAGATAATTATTTCAAGAAAGATGACAAGGTACATAGTGGTCGATTGAGCTGACCTTTTCACAGTTGGGCCAGAATTGTATTATTGCTGTTTGCGTCAAATCACTACTGCCTCAAGGTAATATCTGTGAACTCTTTCCAACAAAGTAATGGCAATCAATTTCATGTGAGCACTCAGACCAGGACTGTGGACTCCCAGACTGAGGAATAAAAGAGCTGAGTGAGGTCCATCCATTACATATTGGGGGTAGATGTTTAAATAAGACAAAATGTTAAGGTGAGTACATAAAACAAGTTACATTATCTTTAGTCTATGAGGAATAAATGAAGGAACATTAGACAAAATTTATAATGGGTGTATGAAAAAACAAACAAACAATTGCATTTATATATGTTTTTAATTTTTTTTAGAAAGGCAAGGCATTTCTCAAGAACGTGATCAGACAAACAACAGGATAACAAAACAAAGAACTTTGGAGCTGGAAATCTGAAACAAACAAAAAAACAGAAATTGCTAGAGAAACTCAGCAGGTCTGGCAGCATCTGCTAAGAAAAACAGAGAAAAGTAACAGGCTATTTGGATTGGTGACAAAATAATTGGTTGAAGAGGTAGATTTACAAAAGCATCTGAAAGGAGAGGAAGGTGAGATGCAAAAAGAACTAGGGGAGGGAATTCAAGAATTTAGGACCCAGAATGAGGAAGGCATGCAACAGAACTGGAGAGGCTAAGGAAGAGGTCAAACTCTGGTCATCAGAGTTCTTGGAGGTTTATGGGGCCGGGTGAGGCTACAGAGTTTAGGGAAGGGCTGACGTTATGGAGAGGAAATTTTAACACCAGGATAATGATTTTAAATTTGAGACATTGTTGCACCCAAAGGCAAAGTAGGACATCAATAGAAGACATGATGGGTAAACAGGATTCTGTACAAATCACTTTACTTGCAATCAACATGTTAGATGATGGTGTAATGTGGGAATTGCATTTTAATAGCTGAGCCTGAAAGTTTTAAAACAAAAGGAGGGGATGAGAGATTCATCAGCTGGATTGAGGCAGGAGTGGAGCTATGCAGTAATCCACCCAGCAGGAGATGTAACCAAACAGATTGAGATTGCTATAGCTCTCACACAGATATAAAAGGTTCCTTACTCAATAAAGATGTTTTCATTGACAGGCAGGCCCTGACCTCGTGAACTGAAAGAGGAGTCAAAAGTCAATCATTGTCTTTCTCTCTCTTAATAAAAGCTGTTTGCAGGTTTGAAGCTGAGATAGAATGAGATTTAGAGTTCTTTTTAAGGTCAGTGTCAGCGGTTGACAATTATCATGTGATTTTAATGAGCAGTAAAAAGGCAACATTGCTAGATTTATTATTTTCACATCGCAGAACAGTAGAGAATAAATTACACTTCATTAGACATTATATTCTGTTGCTTTATGTACTTCATGTAAAAATAAGGAAGTTTTTGCTTGTTTATTAACCAAAGTACACATAAGCCTATCTTCTGAGAGAAAAGTAAACAGATTTGAACTGTCAGTATCCAGTACACGTAAAAAGGGATCTTATTGAGAAGGCTTTCAGGTCCCTCTATTGTTGGGTATTTGGTGGCAAATGTGCTGTCTACATGTTAAGCAATGAATGGTCCAAGTTGAGGAGACATCAATGATGCTGGATTCAGACAGTTGGTGAATTTTCCTGGGTTTGTTCCTGGCTACATCAAATGCAGAAAAACCAAACAGACTTTAAGAGGTTCACAGGATAGGACTCAGGCCCAGAATTAATCTTGTCAAAGACTTAACATTTCTAAAAGCTGTTTGAATACATCTATTGGATTTCCCCTTTAAACTTGAAGAATTACTGTTTTAAAAAAAGACATATTTTGTTGAAACTCTTCATCTTGCATCCATAAGGACAATTTGCAGAAAAAAATGTGTTAAAGGAAAACAGCATTTATGCTGTATGAAAGGAGGGTGCTGATGCTTGGCAGGTGGATTCTGATTGGTAGAGGTATTGCCATAGAGAATACACCAGTTAGATGATGACTGAATTAACTGCCAAGCTTTCTTCAATTATTAAACCAAGCAGACTGAATCTGATTGGTCAGATTGTTGTCCTGCAAAATGAAACAGGGCCTGGCTGTCATCACTTTGTTGAGTTGAAACAGAAACAGTTTGTGTATGTGCTCTCTGTCTGCAAAGACACAGGGCCCTGTGCTCTGACATATTCCAGTGCATACAGAAGCATAACACTGCGAGCATAATTCTTCACACACTCAGGATTATTTAGCAAGTTATTAATTATGGAACCACATGTAATATTGGACACTGTTTCATTGGCTTTTTAAGTGCAGGCTGGTTGAGTACAGTGAATACCACTTTGCTTATTGCTAACAGTGACGGAATGTCATGTTTTGGTACAATCTACTGTCTTTGGCACGTAGCCTACATACCTGGCATCTCATCCGCGCTGATTTTCATATATCGCACGACTCATTTGTGTGATAGGCAGACTGTCTTTTGGGCTTCGTAGCGGCATCTTGTTCATGGCAAACACCATTCCTGTTGTTACTGTGTAGCAGGGGTGTGGAACAGCTAGCTTCACCTGTTGTTCAGACCTTTTTAGATACTTTTGCCCTCTGGTAATCTGAAGTAGGGTGCACTGTCTTTGGAACCAAAAGTGACAGCCTAGCGTCTTTTGAGTTTCACAGAATCACAGTATTGTTATAGTGCAGAATGAGCCCATTTGATGCATCACACCTGCACCAGTTATAAAGTCATACAGCTTGGAAACAGACCCTTTCATCCAACTCGTCCATGCCAACCAGACGTCCCGATCTGACCTAGTCCCATTTGCCAGCATTTGGCCCATATCCCTCTAAACCCTTCCTATCTATACACCCAACCAGGTGCCTCTTAAATGTTGTAATTGTACCTGCCACTGCCACTGCAACAGAAAATCATGAACATTTGAACAGGATAGATACAAACAGCATCCACAAGCGTTGAGCAGTTGAGAACAAGGAGTCACAGTTTCAACATTAAGTGCAAGAGATTTACAAGGCAGCAGGAGAAACTTCTTCACTTAGAACTGTGTGGGCCTGAATTCAGTTCCACAATTAGTGCTCAAGGTAGAAGTTTCAAATGTTCAAGATTGCACTGTAGAACTAGATGAAGGCAAAGCAATGAAAGGGAAATGGGAACACAATAGATAAAATTGATTAGAATTATTTGCCCGCATGGATGGTAAACGTCGATACAAGCTGTTTGGGCTGAATGCCTTGTTTATAATTATGTAATAATACTGGGGAAAGGAAAAAAAATGGAAACTCCCAGTTAAGCCAAAAGTGGCAATGTCCTGCTTTCTCCCATATCCCTGCACACCATTTCTATCCAAATAATCAACCAGTGTGCTTTTAAATGTCTCGATAGAACCTGCCTCCATCACATTTCCAGGCCATACGTTCCATACCCTAATTGTTTGCTGTATGAAAATCTTTTTCTTCCATCACTTTTGTTTCGTATGCACATCACTTTCAATCTATGCCCTCTTGTTCTTTTCTTTTTCATAAACGGGAACAACTTCTTCTGATGTACTCTTTCCAGCTCACTCATGATCTTGAAAACCTCTATCAAGTCTTTTCTCCAGGGAAAACAGTCCTAACTTCTTCAATCTATTCTCGTAACTGAAGTACATCATTTGTATGACCATTGTTATAAATCGCTTCTGCACTCTCTCCAATGTATTTACATCTTTCCTGCAATGCAACACCCACACCTGTAGCCAATTCTCCAGCTGAAGTTGAACAAGTGTCTCATATTTTCTTCCATTGACTTTGACCTTTCAAATCAGGCAATTGACACATCTGGCGATTTAATTTATAACTGAGTCATTGGTGGATGATTAATTTGAAAAATGAGATGCTCTAAGAACTTCAAACTCTATTTAAAATGACAATCACAGGTCACACAGCCTTTGCATTTGTGGGAATTTAACCTGGGAATGATATGTTTCCAATCAAGTCCTTCCATGTAGCCTGAAAAAATTCATCTATGAACATCCATTTTTCACTCTCAAATCTCAAAATATTTGATCTTTCCTGTTTTCCATCCTATCAGAGATTCTTTTCCAACTCCCCTCTTGCTCAAAACACATTACAGTTGTAATTTCCAGTTCTGATGAATGGTCATTGACCTGAAACATTAACACTTTCTCACTCCGCAGATGCTGCCAAACCCGTTGAATATTTCCATCATTTCCTTTTTTAAAAGTTCTCCTGATGTTTTGGTCGATTTTTATCCCTCACTTGATGTAACAAGAACAGATTTTCTGGGCATCATTCCATTGCTGTTTGTAGTTCCTTACTGTTGCAGATTGCAATGTAATGACAGAAGCCAAACCTATTAACTGATGGTAAAATGTTCTAAAGTTATGAAAGGTGCTATATAAGTATTATTTTCTTTTCTTTACACCTGTCATTGTCCTACATTAGGGTCTTTGACCTTCCAGCTCAGTTCTAGAGAAGATAAATATAAAATACTAGCTTCATTTTCAGCTTCTTGTAGACAGTATCGTTCAGTCTGGAGCAGTTGCTAATATATCAGGCAATGAAAGAAAGAAAAGATAGCTGACCAGTGAGATTTCTTTTGGCATTTCCATTTTTTATATGTTAGGAAGGAAAACTGTTCTAAAACTGCCTCACAGTTGGTCTGTGAACCTTCCAGGTCTCTTGTTCTGCATTCTGTCACAGCTCAATCAGTTATGTTTGCTCTGTACATCTGTTGTATCATTCAATTGCAAACATTGTTTTGATTTCCCTAAAATGCTGATTATTTTTGCCTCTGTTTATCAGAATGATTAGTTCTGTCCTTGTGTTCATGAATTCATTCTTAAATTGTGTTCTGTCATTTTAATTAGTTGACTTTTGATTTTTCTTATTTCTATGGGCTTGACTACACATTTTAAAAGTTTTATTTAACTTATTTTTCCAATTAACCTGTTCAGAGATGTTATTACACACCTTTGGAGTAGGTGGGACTTTTGAACACAGTCCTTCTGATCCAGTGGTAGGGACATTACCACGGCACGACAAGAGGGCAGTTGCTTGGCTACTCTTAAAGTGGAGGATCAAGTGAAGACAGATGAGACCATTTAGTCCATCAATCCTGTGCTGGCTCTGGGCAACAACAACTTACCTAGCTCCACTCCCCTTCCCTTCTCCACTGCCTTGAAAATATTTCCTGTTCAGATGCTTATCCAATTTGAAAACCACAATTGAATTTGCCTGCATCATCTTTTCAGGCAGTCCTTCCCAGATCATGAACTCTCATTGTGCAAAAAAAAACTATATGTTGGAGGGGGTGGGGGAAGAAATAGGATAATTGGATGAATTTGTGCTCCTTGATGAGAAGACCTGCCCACCATGGTTTGTACAATGCTGGTTTCCAGAGCATCGTGATCAAAAACTCCTGTATAACTTTCATCAGAATTTCCAACATGCACCACCAAATGGAAAAGGCATACTGCCTGAGCAGAAAGTAAGAAAATTGCCCAGTATATTGTCTTAGCACATAGCATCAGGTGGATTATTGAACACAGTCATGTATAGTCCATTATAATGTTTTTGAGAAGGTTTGTAGCTCGGGTTGTGGATGCAATTGTAGACTTGTTTGCCAAGTTGGTGTGTTTGATTGCAGACGTTTCATCACTCTGCCAGGTAACATTATTTGTGTTATAAGGCATTTCCAGCATTGAAAGGATGTGCTGCACTTTAATCATACATCTATG